GGGCGCCTGTGGTCCCAGCTACTTGGGAGGCTGAGGCAGGAGACTTGCTTGAGCCCAGGAGTTGGAAGTTGCTGTGAGCTGTGATGCTACGGCACTCTACCCAGGGGGATAGCTTGAGGTTCTATCTCAAAAAAAACCCCCCCAAAACAAAAAAACCTAAACATAGCAGGACATTTGCAAGCAATAGCAGCAGCTATTCTCTCTCACTGAATTTTTTTTTTTTGGCAGTTTTTTTGGCGGAGGCTGGGTTTAAACTGACCACCTCTGGCATATGGGGCCAATGCCCTGTTCCTTTGAGCCACAGGCACCGCCCTTCACTGAATTCTTTATACTGTTTTTCTAATTAAAAATAACTTAAATTATTATGGCTACATAATAATTATACCCTTTTTTTTTGAGATAGTCTCATTATGTTGCCCTCGGTAGAGTCCCAGGGCATCACAGCTCACAGCTACCTCAAACTCTTGGGCTTAAGCGATCCTCTTGCCTCAGCCTCCCAAGTAGCGGGAGGCAATTATACTTTTTGAAGCCTTTTTAAAAACCACTATACGTGGCGCCCAGAGCTCAGTGGGTAGGGTGCCAGCCGCATACACTGAGGCTGGCAGGTTCAAACCCAGCCCTGGCCAGATAAACAACAATGACAACTGCAACAACAAAAAAAAACAGCTGGGCATTATGGCAGGCACCTATACTCCCAGCTACTTGGGAGGCAAGAGAACTGCTTAAGCCCAATAGTTGAGGTTGCTGTGAGCTGTGACGCCATGGCACTCTACCCAGGGAGACAGCATGAGACTCTGTCTCGAAACAAACAAACAAATAAACAAACCCTACATAAACTCATTTAATAATATGCGTTTAAACTTAGAAATTTTAGCTTGCTTTTAAAAGTTTAAAAGTGGCAAATGTTGTGGCCGGGTGCAGTGGCTCACACCTGTAATCTTAGCACTTGGGAGGCCAAGGCAGGTGGATTGCCTGAGCTCATGGGTTTGAGACCAGCCTTAGCTAGACAGACACCTTGTCTTGAAAAAATAGCCGGGTGTTGTGATGGGCACCTATAGTCCCAGCTACTTGGGAGGCTGAGAGAAGAGGATTGCTTGAGCCCAAGAGTTTGAGGTTGTTCTGAGATATGACATCATGGCACTCTACTAAGGGTGACAAAGTAAGACTGTCTCAAAAAAAAAAAAAAGTGGCAAATGTTCTATTACCTTTGAATTTAAAGACCGAACTGGATTTTTTTCTTTTTTTCTTGAGACAGAGTCTCAGTATGTTGCCCTGGGTAGTGCTATGGCATCATACCTCATAGCAACATCAAACTCTTGGGTTCAAGCAATCTTCTTGCCTTAATGTCCCAAGTAGCAGGGACTAAAGGTACCCACACCACAATGTCTGGCTAGTTTTTCTATTTTTCGGGGTCTTGCTCTTGCTCAGGCTGGTCTAGAACTCCTGAGTTCAAGGGATCCACCTGCCATGGCCTCCTAGAGGGCTAGGATTATAGGTGTGAGCCACCATGCCCAGTAAAACTACGTTTTTGAATAGCTCTGAAATGTTTACTCACATTAAGCTTATCATCAACTTAAAAGTACCACAGGTTTCCCTTAATCATACATTTGATACGAATCATAATTAAATTTTTTAATTTTTTTTTTTTTTTTGAGACAGAGTCTCATTATATTGCCCTGGGTAGAGTGCTGTGGCATAACAGCTCACAGCAACCTCTAACTCTTCAGTTAAGCTATTCTCTTGCCTCAGCCTCCCAAGTAGCCGGGACTACAGGCACCTGCCACAATGCCCAGCTATTTTTTTTTGGTGGTTGGAGTTGTCATTGTTGTTTTAGCAGGCCTGGGCCCAGCTCAAACGTGTTAGCTCCACTGTAGGGAGGCAGGTGCCCTACTCACTGAGCTACAAGCGCTGAGCAATTGTTAAAATTTTAAAAGGGGAAGAAGTAGGACATGCCCCCCCTTCGTCCTTTTTTATATATTAGGACTATCTCAGACTGTTATCAGACTTATTTCCTGAAAAATTCTCCACCACAGGCTCAGTGCCTGTAGCTCAGTGAGTAGAGTGCCAGTCACATACACTGAGGCTGGCAGGTTCAAATCTGGCCTGGGCCTGCTAAACAAATACAACTGCAACCAAAAAATAGCCGGGTGCCTGTATTCCCAGCTACTAGGGAAGCTGAAGCAAGAGAAAAGTTTAAGCCCAAGAGTTTGAGGTTGCTGTGAGCTGTGATGCAACAGCATTTTATTGAGGGTGACATAGTGAGATTTTGTCTCCAAAAATAAATAAATTTTCAACCACACTCAGACTATGTGTAATACAAAGTTAACTTTTCAAATTCTGAGTGAAGATTTACTGCTGCCTCATTCCTTTCTTTGCCTCACTTGTTCTTTCAGGACTTGAACTCTGCCACACCAGAAAAGCCTTCATCAAATACAATCCAGGTAGGTAGATGGGAAGTAGTTCTTTCTCTGGCTTACTTCCTCTGCATCTCAATCCAAATCACAGGGGCATTAGGAAGAAGCAAAACTATCATTATTCACCTATATTTCATCAAGTAATTTTTTTGGAAACAGTCTCATTCTGATACCCAGACTAGAGTGCCATAGCCTCAGCCTACCTCACAGTAACCTCAAGGGCTTAAGCAATCCTCTTGCCTCAGCCTCCCAAGTAGCTAGGATTACAGGCATGTGATATCATGTCTGGCTAATTTTTCTATTTTAGTAAAGATGGAGTCTTGCTTTGCTCAGGCTCATCTCGCACTCCTGACTGCAAGAGATCCTCCTGTTTTGGCTTCCCAGAGTAGTAGGATCATAGGCATGAGCCACTGTACAAAGCCATAAAGTAATAATCGATTAACTATTAGAAGACTATCACTCATGATATCCTTAACAAATACTCCTATTTCTTTTTTTTTTTTTTTTTT